TCTGTAATTTGTCACTTAAAACGCACCGTTTTATTAAATCATTTACAGATGAATTTTTTCGTCTGTAATGACTAAAACCCATAAAACGGTAACTCCTCCTTCCCTTTCCTCATTTTTTCATAATTCTCTGTCTCGCCCCTCTCTCTCTAGGAGCTCAGTGTTTTGGCCTTTACAAGTGATTGAAGCATCCATTTGAAAGATTTTTTGCATCATTGTATTCTTGGTACGATACTCTAACTTTTAATCGGTTTAGTTTTTTAATTTTTTTTAATGTTTTTTAGAGATTTAAAATTTCTAAGATAGAGTTGTAGGATTAGAGATTGTATGACTAGGGAAAGGCGTAGAGGTCTTTGTCCGAACCTGATAATTGTGTGTTGTGGAATTGTTTGTGTTTGTGGAGTTTGTAGAATATGCATATTGTGGAGTTACAAGATGATATACTCTAAAACGGTTTAAGATTGTGATATGTTTGTGTTTGATGTATCGATTAATATATTGTTATATAATATATTAGTTATGTGTGGTGAACTTTTGATTTATGTAAAAAAGTGGTAAACAAATGTAAGGAAATTGACATGTATTAGGGGAGATTCTGCAAAAATTTATATTAAAAATTTGTGTAATATATAATAGAAGGTTGATACCACATTGTATATTTGTATTAGGTTTATATAGTTCTTGAGGAATATGTTTCTCAAAAATCATCAGTGGATGTACAATAGATTGCACCCAAGTCGAGGGGGAATAAAACCTAAATTCTTTGAGGGTATGGAGGAATTCATACGTATCTGTTGTAATTCGCAACAATTCATCACCAACCAAAAAGTTAAGTGTCCATGTTCTAAGTGCAAGTATAGAAAGTTTTTGGATATTGATTCAATTAGATATGATTTGCATAAGTTTGGATTTAAACATGATTATTGGATATGGAATGAGCATGGAAAAGTAGTTAATTTGGAAACTCAAGTAGGTAATTCAAATATATTGCAATCAGGTGAGGATGTAGGTAATGTAAGTTGGGAAGAAAGCAATAGTCGTTATCAAGAAATTGTTTATGATGATGTTGGTCCTTAATTTGGAATTTTTCGTGATTTTGAAGCTGAATAAGAATTTAATGGAGAGGCTGCAAAGTTTTATAATGTTTTAGAATCAGCTAACAAGCCTTTATGGGATAGGTGTGTGCATTCAGAGTTATCTTTAGCAGTAAGAATGTTAAGGCAAAAGTCAGAAGGCAATCAAAGTCAGAGTTCATTTGATCAATGGGCTACATTAATTAGTGAGCTTAGTCTCCAACCTGACTCCATCCCAAAGGACTTTTACCAAGCAAAAATGTTAGTTTCCAAATTTGGATTAAAAGAAGTCAAAATTGATTATTGTTTGAAAGGTTGCATGTTGTATTACAAAGATGATGTTGCTTTGACCAATTGTAAATTCTGTGGAGAGCCTAGGTTTAAAGCAAGAAGAGGTGGTAGAAGTGGTAAATATAAAGATGTACCGCAAACTATAATGCATTATTTACCTTTGATTCCTAGGTTAAAAAGGTTGCATGCGTCTATGAGTTTAGCTCCTTACATGACGTGGCATGCTGAAAATAAAAAAAAAGTGATGGGATAATGATTCAACCATATCATGGTGAGGCTTAGCAACAATTTGATCAAGTGTATCCTGGGTTTGCATTCGATCCTAGAAATGTAAGGTTAGGGTTATGTGCTGATGGGTTCGCTCCAAACAATCAATTTAATAAATCATATTCTTGTTGGCCTATTATGGTTACACCTTTTAATCTTCCTCCTGAAACGAGCATGAAAAATCCATATTTATTCTTGACTTGTATAATTCCTGGTCCAAAAAATTCAAAGGCTAAAATTGATGTATACCTTCAGCCTTTGGTTGATGAGTTGAAAGAGTTATGGTGTGAGGGTATAGTAACTTATGACCTATCAAGGAAGCAAAATTTTATCATGAAGGCAGCACTGATACTATATGTAGAGCAACTTCTCCATTCCCCCCAGTACGAAAATATGATTTTCAAGGCTTGGAAGAGTCGCACTGCAAAGCGACTAAGACAGATGTACACTGAGACTCGTCAGGACCCTTCTACTGCTGATTAGATAGCACCAAACTTTCTTCATGCCTTGCAGGAGTATTGGGGTACGGATGAGTTCAAAAAGCTCTCCATGAAGAACAAAACAAACAGGACATCTAATAAGGGAGGGTCACTGCATACTGGTGGATCTACGAATTTGGCTGATATTAAGGCAAACTTGGTATGTGATTTTAAAATTCAGTTTACTCTATCTATAATTTTATATTTAAGATTGTGATTTATTTCGAATTGCAGGAGAAGTCGTTGAAGAGGCCACCTACGACTGGAGAGTTGTTTAAGGAGACACACACTTGCAGGCAAGACAAAAACCTGTGGGTTGATACACGATCTCAGACCACATATGTAAGTCTTTAATATATTGATACTATATGTTATTATTAGTGATTTATTAAATAGTTCTCTAAACTAATATCTAATTATCTGAACTGAACTGTAGGATGATTATGTTCAAAGGTTTGAGGAGACATCTTCTCAGGATCCAGAGTCAGTAGATGAGGATGCTATGTGGTCACAGACAGTGGGTGACTTTTATAAGGGTCGCATTTATGGCATGGGGGGCCGCTTTGCAGATTTTATGTCCCCTGCATCTGCCACTGGAGATGCCCCTTCTCTTGCACCTTAGGAAGTGGAGGACATGGTCCGCACTCAGGTTCATGGCCTAAATGAAGAACTCCAAAAGTAGAATGAGGAGATGTGGAAGAGCAAGAAAAGTGCATGGAAGAAGAAGTAGGTAAAGAAAATGGAGAAGAATGTGGCATCGACAATGTAAAGGGAAGTCCAACGGTAGATGAAGCAACAACATATGCAGATGCATGCTTATTTTGAGCTCATGAGAGCAAACAACTCCACACTTCTTCCTCCTCCTCCACCTGCTTCAGCACCATCGATTTTCACCTCCATGCTTCATTCCTCTTCCGATTCCTCGTTTACTGATGATGATGCTCCTTCGGATGATGATCGTATAGATTATTCATGATGAAGACTTGTGTTTTATTTTTAAATGTATTTATTTGGATGCTTTTGTCTTCCTTTGTAATAACATTTATATTTTATAAATTATTTTTAAATTTTTAGATGCCCAATTTATAGTTGTTATTATGTTTATAAATTGTGATAATAAGGAACAGTAAAAAATAACTATCTATATAAATAAAAAATATTAATAATAATAAAATGTTACAGACGGATTTTTTTGTCTGTAAATTACAGACAATTTTTTCCATCTGTAATTATTTACTGACAACTATATCATAGATGATTTATGTCCATCTCTAAATCCGTTTGTAATGGTTTAAAAATCTGTCTGTATATATAGACTTTTTAGTAGTGGTAGACCAAATCTAAAGAAACAAGTTATAACCATGTGTATGTATCAAATTATCTAATCACAAATATTTATTAACAAAAATCCAACATTAAATGCTAATAAAATTTAATTTATACCCCGTAAATTAATCACACAATTATATAACAAATTATTATTATTATTTGTAGTAAATCGAGTTAAAAGCTTGATAAAATAAAATTAAGTAATAATTTTAAGAAAGACAACCCCATAAATATCCTCAAAAATTAAAAAAATAAAAGGAGAAAGAGAAAAAAACATCCATTATTTTAAATATGTTCTTTATTTGCAAGAAAAATTACATACTTCTCAAAATACACAAAAAAAAAAATAAACATAACCATGCTGACATGCATAAACTTTTAAATTTTCTTGATCAAAGAAAATAGACAGTAGGTTTTGCATATTAGAAAGGATAAGTTTGATGAAAATTTATTTATACTGATACGGTTCTTTAACTATTGGAAGCTCACGTCACAAGTTCTAAAATATTTATTTTTGCTTATTATTGTTGTTTTATTAAGTAATAAATTTAAGATTAAAACCATGTTTGTCAAAAAAAAGTAACTTGTAATTTGTTAACTTAGTTAAAAAATTAATATTTTTGTAGTTAGCTAAAAATTATAAGTTTGTACAATTTTTAGCTTGTTTTACGAAAAAAGCCAAATTCAATAAATAAGAGATTTAATAACTCATTGGATAAAGTAAAAAAAAAAAAAAAACAGAGATAGTTTAATTTAGCATTTATTGAGTCGATAAAATTAGAAATCATAAACTAGACTAAATTCAATTGGTTGGCTTGACGAAGTCCATCAAAAAATATATAGGAAAATAGTATTAGTCATTCAAGAATCTCTCATGGCAACTGACATCTCTCATGTTGTTGTCTCTTCTTACCATCCATTACCACTGTTGCGAGACATTCACTTAACATAATTTTAGTTTTGATAAAAAAAATATATAAAAACTGAAAAATATTATAAAAAATTAAATAATCATATATTAATCTAACAAAAACGTAAAATACTGTCTACCTATAAAATTTATCATAATCTATCTTATTTTATATTAAGAAAAAAATATATTATATTTTTTATATATTAGAATACCGATGATTTCAAACCTCCAAAGGTATTATGTATGAAAGGAAAAATATATATACATAAAAAAGAGAAATGTTGCAATTAAAAAAGAATACAACAACATAAGTGTAAAGCTTCAAGGTATGAAAAATCCAAGGTTATACGTTTAAATATTCATATATATATATATATATATATATATATATATTTTACATGAATATGGATATTAATTTGAAATTGTAAGAATGGAAATGAATAAATCTGATAAAAGGTGAATATCCTTGATATCCCATTGGTCCATTTTGAAGCACACGGATTGCCAGAGAAATCACCCTCAGCCGAAGATAAATTTTAATCGACGGTCATCATTTCTCAAAGTGGCAGATCTATACGGACGGTCCCAAAAACTTTATATAACCGTGCCAACGCATCTTCCATCTCCATCTTACAGCAAATTCCACGCTTCTCATCCTTCAACAGAAAACAAAGCAAAGAATCTACGCTTCCCATGGAGACCGGTGGAAAGATCAAGAAAGGTGCCGGAGGAAGAAAGGGAGGTGGACCTAAGAAGAAACCAGTTTCAAGGTCCGTCAAAGCCGGTCTCCAATTCCCCGTTGGAAGGGTTGGCCGTTACTTGAAGAAAGGAAGATACTCGCAGCGCATCGGAACTGGTGCTCCCGTTTACTTGGCCGCTGTTCTAGAATATCTCGCCGCTGAGGTAACGCGAATTTCAACACTCCATTTTTGCAAAGATATTGAAGGATTTTAGGTTTCTGAGACTGGAATGTGGATGATGCAGGTGCTCGAGTTGGCTGGAAATGCAGCGCGTGATAACAAGAAGAATAGGATTATTCCGAGGCACGTTCTTCTTGCTGTGAGGAACGACGAAGAGCTTGGGAAATTGCTGGCTGGTGTGACCATTTCTCATGGTGGTGTTCTTCCTAACATTAACCCTGTTTTGTTGCCTAAGAAGACTGAGAAAGCTGCCAAGGAGCCCAAGTCTCCTTCTAAGGATACCAAATCTCCCAAGAAGGCTTAATTGATTTTTTTTTTTATATATAAAATTTTAGTTTGTTCCTCTTAATTTAGTGTGTATATCTGCGTTTAGGTTTTTTCTGTAACAGCAAATTTGATGCGTTGGAGTTGAAAGTCGTAATTCTGATTTCACCATCACCTTTTGGATTTCACCCACTCAGTGGAAATATCACTGTTTTCAATAGTCAATGAATTGTTCCCCATTTTTCTTATTTAAGCATTCGGGAGGGTTACTGCGTTTCATGTTTTTTCTTCCATGAGAGGGCGCAAAATGTTTCGGTGCTGTTTAGCTTTTTAAACAATTGAGCTCTGATTCCAATTTTGTCTATAGTTGGAATAAACCGACGAAATGAAAGTGTTATCTAATGTCATTTTTCGTGTGCCATTAAATGCCTATCCATCCACGTCTGCACTGCATAATTGTTCAGCATGTGCAGTTACTGTGTTCAGGGCAGTGGCATGTGTGACAAGATTAATTTTTGTGTTGTTTGATTTGACTTCGTTCGGGACCCTTCTGAGCATTTATATTCAATTCAATTTCTAGATGTAATTGGAACGTTTTGAATGTAGGGCTCCGAGGAGCCATGCCATTTTCACTCTACTAGTTTTATGAATGACTGCCTTTGAATAGCGATCTTGTGCAAACAAGATTGAGAGACTTGGAAGACAATATTGGAAAGCAAGTTGTTTTCCTAGCTATGTTTCGTTTCGGTAATTGGTACATAAAACATTCCTTTTAGATGGAAGGATAAAACATAACAATGTTTTATGTTTTTTGTATAAAACAGATGACAAATTTTAAGGACATTATAGATTTAGTCAGTGTTGCTTTTAATTAAACTTAAAATTTTATCTTGGTATTTCAGAGTAAAAGCTATCGTTAAATGTCAGTTTATTGAAAGTTAACATATGTTACTGAAATGAAATTCAAGATTAAAGAACAGCATTAAAAATATTCGTAGTATCACACTTTGTGTTCTTGAAACGACCACCCGAGCTAAGAGTTGAATTTTATTCGATGTCTCATTTGTGAAGTATTGTTGACAGGAGAGATGAAGTTTTGTTCTGTTACTTGTTTAGGATGGTTAACAGAGGAGACATCTCGTGAAAATAAAATTCTAGTTTCATGCTTGAAACTTTTCATGTTCGCCGGTGCACCTCTTTGATAAGCACAAACGCAATAACATCTGACTATATAACCACGAAGAACTTAGAATAGCATAAACTCTTAATATGGCTTGGTGTGAGAAACTGGACTCCCATTTTTAGTGGAAACTCTCCTCTAATCAGCTTGGCTTAAGAGGAGTTCTCTATGGGTTGTTAGCGCAAAGGATTAGTGAAGAAAGAAAGGGTGTGACCATTTTTTTATTATTAATTAATTCACTAATTTTAAATATACAATAATATATTAATATAAATTTAATAAATTATTTATTTATTACTATAGATAATGTATAATTCCATTAATATAAATATCGAACTTTGTCTTCCCTCTTTTACCTTTCAATTTTTAAAATATTTAAAAATATAACAATATAATTTTCTATTAAAAAATTAATGTATTAATTAAAATAAATAAATATTTTTTAATCAAAAATTAATATTATTAAAAATTTATCATCAATCTTAAGGGTTAAAGTAACTTTTTCCTATCAATATTGGAGACGTGTTGTGAAATCTATAAGAAACAATAAAAATATAATAAAAATTATTAAATTAAAAGTACGACTAACATAATTTTATTATTTTTTTATAAATTTTAATTAATAACCAAAATTTATTTAAGAAAGTGTTAGATATTATATTACTTTCATTTTCTTGATAAATATTAATCTACACGCTATCGAATAATATTAAAATATTTCTGAATCATATTAAATATTTAAAATATTAATCCAAGCCCTGTTTTTGCATGTAAGAGGTTTTAAAAAAAAAGATAATACAAAAATAATAAAAAAATTCAACGAAATGATGTGACACCGATAAAGGATTAAAAAAGTAAGATATAAGTATTGAGCGGATGCATAAATATCATCATTAAAAATTATTTAACATTATTTAATTAAGGTAATGATAAATTTATAGATAAACTTATAATTTATGGGCAACATTTATTTGGATTGAAATTTTTAAAAGGTTTATTTAAAAAAATGAGAGAAGAGTAAGTATAATAATATTAATACACAGGGAGAGATTGAGAGCAATTAATTACGGTAATTTGGTAATTTTGCAATCAAGGTATGACAGAACACCTACAATGAAACACCAAAGGGTCACGTATGTTTGAAACCCTTAGTTATTTTTTCATGTTCTTGTTCACATGACCTATACAATTAGGGACACACATAATCTATGCCTATTAAAAAATAATAAAAGAAAGGAAAACTATATCGTTTGATTTATGAATACTTTAACTTTTTGTACATTGCACGTTCACAGCATGATTAATATTGAATTACTTTTTTAAATAAATAATTTAAAATACAATACATGATTATTTTAAACTTTAATAAATTCTATAAAATAACAAATAGTAAATTTTTATTATTATTAACAATGAATGGTTTATTATTTGACTTTATTAATGTAGTGTCTCAATTTATTTTTTAATTTTAAATTAAAATAATCTTAAATTTTAGTATATCCAGAAAGTACATTGAATTTAATACAGCATATCGAGATTTAAAATGAAAATATTAACATAATATTTTAAAAAATTAAAATTAGTAAGAAATTTAAATATTTATTTTAAAATACCCTCAAAAAAGTTTTATTTTTTAGTAACTAAGATCCGGAGTTAATGACTGAATATAATATTCAATAAAAAAATGGGAATCTTACATGGGCTAGTATTTGGTGTTATTCTCAACTCAACACATTTTTAATTGATGAACCAAACAGACATTTTATTTTAAATTGAAAAAACGCAAACAAAGTATGGGAAGGGTGTGGCATAATGGCATCCCATTGGCCGCCTACGAAGCACACGGATCGAGAAACAAATGATTGTCCACCGTAGATAAAATCTAATCCAACCGTCAACGTATTTTACAGTACTGGATCATATAAACGGGGTCCAAAGCTTTATAAAATCGTGCCAACGCATTTCTATATCCATTTCTCACGTCACGTTCGTCATTATTCCTGTGCCTTTTCGATTACACACCTTGAATCTAGGGTTCCATGGATACCGGTGGAAAGATCAAGAAAGGTGCCGGAGGAAGAAAAGGAGGTGGACCTAAGAAGAAGCCAGTTTCGAGGTCCGTCAAAGCCGGTCTCCAGTTCCCCGTTGGAAGAATTGGCCGTTACTTGAAGAAAGGAAGATACTCGCAGCGCGTCGGAACTGGTGCTCCCGTTTACTTGGCCGCTGTTCTAGAATATCTCGCCGCTGAGGTAACGCGAATTTCAATACTCCATTTTTGCAATGATTTTAGGGAATTTTAGATTTCTGAGACTGGAATGTGGATGATGCAGGTGCTTGAGTTAGCTGGAAATGCAGCGCGTGATAACAAGAAGAATAGGATTATTCCGAGGCACGTTCTTCTTGCTGTGAGGAACGACGAAGAGCTTGGGAAATTGCTGGCTGGTGTGACCATTGCTCATGGTGGTGTTCTTCCTAACATTAACCCTGTTTTGTTGCCTAAGAAGACTGAGAAAGCTGCCAAGGAGCCCAAGTCTCCTTCTAAGGCTACCAAGTCTCCCAAAAAGGCCTAATTGACTTTGTTTGATTTTAGTTCATTCCTTTTTAGTATGTAAATTGTGTTTAGGTACTTTTTGTAACAACAAATTTTATGCGTTTTAATTGAAACGTGCAATTCTGATTTCCTGTATCTTTTCGTCGGTTGAGTGAAACGTGTTTCGATGCGTCTAGGGTTTTTCGCGCTATGATTGATGGTGTTTTCAGCTATGTTAAATAGAGAATTATGCGCTTATTTGTCTTTCATCTTTTGGATTTATATCTGGAAGGAGGACCATGAATAACATTATCGATATTGAAGGGAATGCAATGCATTTGAACACATCACTGATTTTCTTCTATTGAACTAAAACTTCTTTCATTTTCTATTTGCAAAGCAATATCGTGTTTTTTTTTTTTTTTCCATTCAAACAAATCTCAGAATTTAAGTAATAGCAATTTAGTTTAAAATAGCGCGTGTTAATTATACATATATATGCACCTTAATTTTAAATAAAAAAGGCTTCTAATATTTTGATCAAACATTATAAGGGTGTTAGTTATCGAAGTGCCTGTGTTAAGTAATATTACTGTGGTACAATATATTTTAAGACACTTCAATTTCAAATTCTGAAGCGCGCAGAAACTAATCGTGCAAAACTTTTGCATCACAATGTCTCAAAATTGGAAACTGAAACAGTCCCGAAATATACTGTCCGCAATTGGTAGATTGAAGACACATATCAGATAGGTGAGCCATGCCTAGCTCGTCGAGTACATCTGATACAATATTTTATTCGCCTAATTAATGTTCATGGGCGAAAGTAACAACCGAATAGAAGGCATCATCTTCTCCGGATCATTTAAGGATTGCTGAAGTACAATGTTCCACGAAAATAATCCTTCCATCAACAACCTGCACCATGCAGGTTGAAGCAAATAAAACTACTGTACCAAAAGTTAATTAACATAATTCCATAGAACGTGATTTTATTTATGCAGCAAAGTCATAACAGGTACAACTTATTGCATTATAGAAAAGCACATTTTGACCTTTTAAACTTCTAATTCACCCTAATCACTCAACTCTTCATTATATTCAATTAAAACAATAACGCTTGAAATTTAAGAGAAAAAAGAAGAATTGAATACAAATTCAAGGCATCTCAACGCTCTTGGAAAATTATTTGACAAGCACAGGACATTTGCAACAAGGGGACAAGATAAGCGACACAACATGGTTACCTTTTACATAGCACGTATCAATTTATAATAGTAGATGGTGCAATGTAAACACATTTTCAAGCCCAGGATTCACACCATGATAACACAACTAAAACAGTTTAATCTTATGAATATGCAAGGTTCAAGAGCAATATCAGTACAAAACTAACAAATTTATGTTGTTTCATAAGCAACTCATGATAAGCATTTCAACTAGAGAGTTCGCTCTTAAAATAAACAAACAAATAAATAGATAATGGTCAGCTAAGCAGGGAAACGATTGATATGCTGTGAACATACTCTACCCACCTAAACCTATAAATTTAGCAAGAATTGAAATACATTATGTTGATTCTCTGGAAAGAAGATATAATTACATCCATTTCCTCTTCCATAGCTTCACCTACCATTAGTTGAGAACAATATTACACGTTTTCCTCATGTTTCAAGCACCTTCCGAGGTAGGACTTAATAAGATGGAATAAAAGTAGTTAGCGAAAGGAATCGAGTAGCTAATGTAAGAATTCTTTTTAAAAATAATTATTCACCGTAACTTCATGTGGTAGTACAATAATGTTTCCTTAGTCTATCGATATTATTTCCAATGCATTCAATTACGCATTTTCACAAGCAGCGTAAGTGCAATACCACTAACACCAGCAATATAACTTAACAAAGCACGCCAATATGCTCCTCCTATGCATCGAACAATGTTTATGAAAGTGGAAGCAGGCCAAATTGGTAAAAGACAAAATTACCCACCCTGCCATTCATGGCTTTGATAGCCTTTTCCGCTTCAATTTGGGAGTCGTAGGAGACAAACCCAAACCCTTTGGGCCTTCCGGTTTTATGGTCAAACACTAGAAAAGCTGTATGCGAAGAAATGAACCACTGAACAACACAACGGCGAGTGAGGAGACAAGAGAAAAAGACAGGACACACCTTCCTTAACGTGTCCGAATGGAGCGAACAGCGTCCTGAGATGCTCCCTTGTAGTGAAAAAGGATAATCCTGGCAAATATGTTAAACTTAAAGGGTTGATTTTGGACATGAGAATGTGTAAAGGAAGGAGAAAGAAGAGAAGAATCCTAACTGCTCACGAACAGCCTTGCCCCCATTCTTTGAGTTTGCTCCGATCGATCTTACTATTCCTTCGCGTGCACTTCACTCTTTTATAGAGTAGCATTTAAATAGATACTCTTTTCAACTCTCGTAAATAATTAATATTTAAGGTACTTATAGTGTCTTACTGGCATTCTCTTCTTAAATCAATTCATATTTAAGGCATTTAAAAAATATATATATGATTTTTTATGTTATTTTAATAAATTTATTAAAATATAGTATTTCCAATTTATCTCAACAACTTTCATTACTAAATTTATGTCATAAAATATTATTTAAAAATAAGTTATTATATAAACATTATTACCATTATTTTTGAACTTATGACACGTAATCAAGTTAAACTTTTATATATTTTTTACTTTATTTCTTGCTTACAACCTCAAATATGAGATTATTGTGTTCTCTGTTTTTTATTGATCCTAATGTTTTAAAGTAGAAATGATAAATAATCAAATTTTTTTAAAATATATTAAAAGTACATTAATGCTTTAACGTGGACACTTCACTAGAAATAAAATATAATTTGTCTTTGTTTTTAAAAATAATATCACTATAATTTAATTTAAATATAATGTAAATATTTTTTACACTGGAATGTAAATTAATAATATTAACAAAAATTTGTTATTTTTTATAATAATTAGTATAAAATATATATTTATAATATATTTTAATTAATAAATAATATGAAAATTTATATATTGAAAATTCTCTAAAATTTATTAGCAAAAAAAAATCTCTAAAATTAAATTCATTTTATTATTAATGTACTTACACATATAATCATTTATGTTGAAAATCTTCAACTTGTATTTAATTTACGTTAAATTAATGCGAGTGATTTTTTTTTCACAATGGTGCAATCAATTAAAAGTTAACAATATAATAATAATAATAATAACAACAACAATAACAATAACTATGCTGAAATTACTTTGATATTTTTTCAAAGTTTTTAATTAGTTGTTATATCTACATGCATTTTGGTTAAACAACAAACATTCTGTAAAATATAGATGATACTAATCTAAGTCTATTTAAAATAAATTTGCTACCAATTAGATACTTTGAAATTAAAAAAAAAAATTACCTTAGTCCATAGTTATAAACAGTTAATATTAATCTTTAATGCTGATATATTAATTTTTAATGTTGACCTTTGTTAAGTAAATTATCAAAGTAAGTATTCAACTCTAATAAGATAATAGCACTAATAATATCATAAGTACTGCACTTAATTTTTGTCTCATGTGTATACGTAATGCAATCAACAATTGCACCATCTTCTTTGTGTTCCAAGCTTATTGGTTTTGTTCAATTCATATGTAGACTAAAACCTTGTTTCCTTAGAATGAAATAAGCATGAATTGGTCTTAAACTTGACAAGTTCTTTGTTTCGGCAAGAATATTTCAAATGTTTGTCCTTGTTGATATGGTCAAGAGAATCTGTCTTTACGATTGCAGTTCAAACTTAAAAATTAATGTTAAACTTCACTTTCATGCACGGAAAGGTATCGTTATACGTGTTCATCCATATCGCATAAAGGATAAAGATATAAAAAAACAATAACATTGTATAACAAAAAATCAGAAAATACTCAACCTCATCAAATGAGCATAATTTTAGTCATTTAATCACATCGATCAAATTTGACATCAATCATGGCTGTGCCATTCCACCTGTATTATTGTAAAACAATTACATTATTCTTTATCCATCATATTTAAATGGCACTAATAATATCATCAGTACTGCACTTCATTCTTAATTTTCATAAATTTACTCCATACCTTCTCTTTTAGCATATCATGAATCATGCACTTTTATATTATATTAAATCAAATCAAATTAATATTTAAAAATAATAATAAATAATATTTAAATTTCCTCATTTGACATTAAATATAATAGATATTTGAAAATCATTGCTAAAATATAATCCCTTTATCAATTTAATTTTTACATTTTATAAACAATTTTTTTAATATTACAATACATTACAAAAGTTATGTATAATACATTTTATTAAATATATATATATATTACGGTATGAAACATTGCACAAGTTAAAAAAAATCGTCTTATAAATTATATCCATACATTACAAATAATAACTTGCTTAATTAATTTTGTAACTTCAAAAAAATATAAAATGATGCGCTTCTACAATTTTGTTCTAATGGTAAATTAAAAGCTGAGTAATATATTCAGTAAACGTTATATATAGATTCATCATAATTAATTATGAATTATTAAATAAAACAATTTGTTATTGATATGATAGTCATAATTTTTGTTGTCCTTCATATAGACAGACCTTGAATTTGGAGCGTAGACAGTTAATTAACGACTTTAAGATATTCTAAACTAGCTGGCAATGGCAAGGCACAGAACAACGCCAGTCATCTAACGCCACGCCACCTGTACCTAAAACTTTTAACAACAAAGAATTTAATTTATTTTATAATCTGATAAATTGGGAACTAAATTAATTAGCAGTTGGCTTTTGTTTGTGTGTTAAATATTGTTGGTGTTGTCAATAATAAATAAATAACTAGAAGGCATCCTAGTAGTGTGGTGGCACATGCGCAAGCAGCGTAGGAACAGGAACCAAGTGAAAAAGTGTCTCCCACCATAGTCGGAGAAACTAGGTTGTATCCTACACCCGCTGTTCTGGTTAATCAAATTTTCTGATATTTCAAAAAAATAACAAAATTAAGCACCGCTCCTTTCTCGGTTAAAATCTCTTTGCTCCTTCACTTCAACTTTGGAGATCCCCTTTCTCTCCCATTCCTCTTTCTTTTACGGATCTGGTAACTCTCTCTCTCTCTCTCTCTCTCTCCTTTTTTTTTTTTTGTGTTGAGGAGTTAACATGAAAATCATTTCCGTTATTTTTTCTTTTAATTTTTGGGATTGTATGCAGATAGGGATACATATAGTTGTATTTTTGTTGCAATTCCTAGAGATTCATCGATTATTGAACGTTGATGGCTGCTCCACCGGCAAGGGCGCGTGCGGATTACGATTATCTCATAAAGCTTCTCTTGATCGGCGACAGCGGTAAGCGACCACTCCTCTTTCCTCTTCTCTTGTGTTTTTTTCAGAGTTCCGTTGACGTTCTTTTCATTGTTCGTGTTGATATGGAAAAACAAAACGTTGTGATTATGTGTAATTTTCTTCTTTTTATGTGGAATTGTTGAATATGGATTTTGAGGCAAATGTGCTTTATTTTGGAATTTCAAACTTTTTATGATCTAGTTTGAGCAAATATTTTAATAACTGTTTCTGTTGCTATGATGGAATTATTTCAACACTCGAGATGTTGAATTGCAAATTCCGTCTGATTCTTGTCTGATTGTCGAACAAAACAAATTCTTCTTGTTATCGTATGAAGTTAAGCCTCTCTGTTCCATGATGGTGATTTGTTTAATTGAAAGTACAACACTTATAAATTGGGGCGGCGTGTTAGGACTAGCTAATTTTGAAGAATAACCACTTTTTTTTTTTTTTTATTCTAGCTTCTTAAAAGAGGTTTTGTTTTTTAAGTGATTATTTAGTGGGAAAAAGCTGAACCAGAACATGGTAATGGAGCATGCTTCTGAGCTTTGTTTCTTTGTAATCTTTTTACCCAACAGGAAGGAAGAAATATGGTTTCAGTTGCATTTCACTCGAACCTTTTTCGCGTGTCTAGATTATTTACTACATGATATATGTCATGGTTCCTTTCACCCTCTTTGTGTTTAGTTTTTGTTAAAGGATGAAAGAATAGAAGAATTTTAGTAGACACATAGAAATGAGAAACCATCGCCGTACAACAATGTGTTTTGGTGCACAAGTTCCCTACTTTGGCACAAACCTTTTCTGTTTTTCTTGGTTGCAGGTGTCGGAAAGAGTTGCCTTCTACTGCGATTCTCTGATGGTTCTTTCACAACTAGTTTCATCACAACCATAGGGTGAGTTTTCACAATTTTGAAGTAGAATCACATTCTTGTGTGCTAGAAGTTTCCCTAACATCACAAGGTCTACCTTCCTGATGCAGCATTGATTTTAAGATAAGAACCATTGAGCTGGATGGAAAACGGGTCAAGCTCCAAATTTGGGATACTGCAGGTCAGGAGCGGTTCCGAACAATTACAACTGGTAAGACATATGACCCTTACTACTAGTATCATTTTTTGGGTTTTAAATCACTCTAGAGGGAAAAGTAATCCTAACAATTGATGAAAAAAGCAATTATTAATATTATGTGCACGTACAGAATAGATCAATTGTTTCTCAAATCCCATCTATTGTTGCTTGTATGTGACATGTGGAAAGACTATACTAGGAATGTGATTTATGGCACTTTCTGTCGTAGGATTAAAAGGTGGTGGGAAAAAACCGAGAAATAATAGGGAAGAAAAAAAGAGAGATTATAGAAAGAAGAAAAACAGAATGGAGAGAGAAAGTAAGCACTAAGAAATACCATAGCTGTTATTCTATATCAGAAGTAAGGAGCATAGGGATAAAGTGTAGTTATAATAAGCGTTGGTTAGAAAATCAACACTTATATTTTTGCTTGTATTTTTAATCATAATATTAACTGTTGATTTTCTAAGCAATATTATAACAGTACTTTTGTCTAGAGCCAAATCCCAGAAATAATGTGACAGACTATAATAGGCAGTTCGAGGTTCAAATTTTAATATAACTCTAAATCCAAGGGTTAAGATATAATCAAATCCCCAAAATTTTATGCCATGCCTAAGCCTGAAACAAATACTCATCGTTTCTTGTTTCCATTACCTCAATTGTCAACTGTATAGAATTTATTGGTGGTATAGTTTCTAAGATAATCCCTTGTGTTTTTTTTTTTTAAATCCAAAACTGATTAATGATAAATACGGTAGCCTCTTTTTCATCTATCTAAAATGAGCTTTCACTAGTAGCACTCACTGTTTTGTTGTTTGATGTGTCTTGAGTTAAATTCCATGCCATCTGAATGTGTATCATTCCATTGATGTTACTCTGGAATTTTTTTATTCTTCGTTGATTTCCAAACTTTGTTAATTAGAGTATTTGTCAAGTAGTTTATTTTGTGCCAACCCTTTACTGAATTCCCTATTTTTTCCAGCTTACTATCGTGGTGCTATGGGCATATTGCTAGTCTATGACGTTACAGACGAATCTTCATTTAACAGTAAAGTTTCCATCTGTTGCTTCGGCTTAAAATTGGAGATATGTGTTTTTCTGGTCAAAGCCTTTCTTATTCGGAATATTCATCCAACTCATGCTAATTGCAGATATTAGGAATTGGATTCGTAACATTGAGCAACATGCTTCAGACAATGTAAACAAAATATTGGTGGGGAACAAAGCTGACATGGATGAAAGCAAAAGGGTATGCAAACATCTTGGATTTTCTCTTTATGAGTGGGTTATTTGGTGGATATCTAAGGCAAAGGAGCTTAGGAAACGAACCAATATTATCATCAAATATATTTCTTTTTGTTTTACTATTATGCAAAATTGTCTTGGCTTGCACCACCATGCAGCATGTTTGTTTGCGATTTAACACAACACCAACTCACATTTGCACATGGGTAACATTTACCCATGTGCTTTAGAAATAACTTCAATAGAAACGGATTTTTTCTCCTCTTATCAAAACGTTTGTTTTAGCAATCTAAATCTTAAACAAGCAGGCTTCATGATGTTGTTAGACATTTGGTGAATGAAACATTCTTGTTTCTTGTTCGGTGATGCCATCAGTTGAATTAGTAACATCTGGGTATCCTTTGTTTCTAAAATATTTTTCAAATAGGATTTTTTTGGAATTATTAATATGCCTTTGCCTTTCTTTCTAGGCTGTGCCAACCTCGAAAGGCCAAGCACTGGCCGATGAGTATGGAATCAAATTCTTTGAAACAGTAAGTGATGTATTCTTGAGAGAGTGGAAACATCCTTTAGTTCTTTGTTATGATTACATACTGAAAAAGTTTCTGTTGCAGAGTGCAAAGACAAATCTAAATGTGGAGGAAGTTTTCTTCTCTATTGCAAGAGATATAAAACAAAGGCTTGCTGACACTGACTCTAAGGCCGAGGTATTTGAACATTCTCTTCCTTGAATTAAAGTTTATTGTGTTAATTGCTATCTCCACCATGTTGAATGTCTCACCATATTTTCATTGCAGCCGGCAGGAATTAAAATCAATCCACAAGATCAGGCAGCCACGGCGGGGCAAGCTGCGCAAAAGTCAGCTTGCTGTGGTTGAAGAGGCAAACATTATGTATGTGGCCAAGAACAAGAAGGAAAGAGGAAAATATTTATATGGACGATAAATTGATGATGATTTGTGCTTTGCGCTGACATTATCATTCTTTCATAGTTTCTACATTCCAAGATGCTATATATATATAAATTCAAAGCTAGATGTGATTGTGTCATTGCCCCGTATGTTGTTTGGTTGGGACATGAATCCATCAATCGTTGATTTTTGAAGGGTTATAAAATTATATCGACCCCAGTCTTAGTTTAAAAAATTACAGCAATTATTTCATTTTAAATTCTACTAAGGAAATTTTTTCTTGTGCTTTACATTATATGTAATTAAATACATATATTTACTCGGCACAACCTTTTTGATAATTACAAATTATTCCTAGTTTATTTCTGAAAATGTTGGTTTTAATAAATTTTTAACAAAACTGATTATTTTTAAGGATTTTTCTCTCTTTTATACTAAAACGTGAAAATGACATAAGAGTCATAATTGAGGATTCAATCGAGCAATTTTATATAGTTTAAAATGATTTCTTGAAACACAATTAAAATATTTTATGTTTAAATGTATAACACTAGTTTGAACATTTTTTTAATTGGTTAATCCTAAGCTAAAAATGTGCAATCGCCATTTTTAAAATTGTCTTAGCTCTGTGTGGAAGCTGCAATTGTTGGCAAAATTAGCCGTGCTTGTAAATTCTCCAGCCATCTGTTTTTCTTGCCAAAACCCACAAATCCTCATTATACCATTATCATCAATGTGCATGAGTATGCATTAATAATTATCAGTATCCTTCCTTGAATGAAAAGCATAAAACAATTCTGCATGTCTCTGTTCACCTGTGTTGATTCAAAACAATTTGCATACGATTCCTTTCAAGTTTCAACACTAGACCTCTTATTAAATAGATTAGCTACTTTTACATAAATTCAATCAGATCTTACACCACTCTATTAATCTTTAAATTAATGCTGGAATATTCTAATACGAAAGAAGTGGGGAAATAATTATATTTTTATGTTTGCTTTTATTGGTAATTGTCAACCCGCAATATCAGCAATCAGTTGCACAAGATGCTTAACATATAATACTGAAGCATAAAGTCAACTATATGAATCTCATCAAGTCTTGAGAATATTCATTCATTTAATGTGACAAAAAGCATAATTACTTAATACAGTGAAAATGTTATTTTGTTTGGAGTATGAAATAAAATAAAATTTGTGTAATGTTGTTAGTGTTATTTTTCAATCAAAATTAGAAATTCATTTCGATAATGTATTCCAATTTTTATGCAAATTATTGGGATAAAACTTCAATTTTGAGTAAAGAAAAATATCAACAATACCTATGATGTTTCAATTAAAATTTCTCTTTTGAAGTATGAAGTCTTTTGCAATTAGTTGAGCCTTTAGTTCACGCATCAGAACGCATCGATTATATTATTGTAATATGGATTCTCCCAACTTGATTACATTTCGGTTATTTACAACAACTACAAACTTCCTACCTTTTTTTAAATCTGATATAAAAATATCATTAATAAACATAACTCATTATTATGTGTCGCAGCAAGTCACAAAAAAATGGATAAGAACTAAAAAGTTTCAATGAAATCGCAAGGTGACTACAAGGTGAACTACATACGTACATACGTATGATAATTTACGAAAAATACACAGAATTATAACAGAAAAAATGCTCATTGGGTGCAAAATTTCCAATGAAATGAAACAATTTAGGACAGACGTACTCTTAAGTTGAGCTTAAGATCATTCTCCAATGGCGTCAGGTTCAAGTCTAAGCACCCATTCAACCTTTTAGCATCTTTCGATTTCTTCAAAATGGGCAAAGAATGCTTAAGAGTCATCAAACCATCATTAATAGCGCTTCTATGCTTTCTCATGTGCCCTCCCAGAGCTTGTCCAATAGCAAACTCAAGCCCACAAACCGGACATGGGTGCATCCTGGGCTTCATGGTTGGGCTTTGTAACCTGTCATGGTGGCACGAAAGATCTGTAACCATGAGCTTCGGCTTCTTGTGACTGGCTCTGTGGCCTCCAAGGGCTTGAAAAGAAGAGAAACGTCTATTGCATGTTTTGCACTTAAAAGCACCAATATCATCCTTTGATGAGTTGGTTTCACTCTCACCAACTTTGGTTAGTAGCATCAAACAATTACCCTTGTTTAACTCACCCTCTTCTCTTTCTCTTTTCATGGTTACCTAGATAGCTAGGTTTAGTGGTTACTATAGCAAAGAGGACACAAAGTTGTGTTGAACTCTTGAGAACCTCCCTAGTAACAAAGTAATGAGATTATGAGAATTTATAGGTACTACTACACTCTTAAATATATCAATGAGATTCTGGAATGTGTGATGAGGAAGGTGCATGTACCTATGACTATGACTATGACTCTGGTATTACTAGGATAAGTGACAACAATACCCTTGCGTTTTCCTTTGCAATTAAGAAATGAAGAATAGTGGCATTAGGTGTAAATAAATCAATTTGAGAGACCAAACTATTTTTGGTACTTGTTTGTTGTTGCTCATTTGCTAGTTCCTTGCTAAGTTAGCGTGACCGCGTATCCCAGGGAGCAAGACTTATTCGTCAATGCTGAGTAATTAAGAATCATGCTGAAATTACTAGTTATGTAACTATGCAAGTTCCCCATTATATTCTAGAACTTCTGACGAAAATTAACCCAATCGCGTCACACGAGTCTCATTTCTGTCCCACCAGATTTGTTTAATATGAATGTACCACTTTTCTTTTATGCATGAATGTAATGAAAATAGGGTAACCGGAAATGTTTGTCTTGCACTGAGAGATGAGTATAAAGAAGACCTAAATATAAAAAATTGTTGCAGAAAAAGATAAATAAATTAAAATTCTCGAAAATATCATTTAGAAAATACTAGTTTTTATGTTGAGAACTACATGTGGTATGAAATGAAGAAAGAATAAATTTATTCCAAAGTGAAATTATGTATCAATTTCAAAATAATAGGAAAGGTTTCAGAATGAAACAGAGAATAATAAGAGATGATAGGCCTATGTGCCAGGCGTGTGGGCCTAGTAAAGTTTGGTATGTGTGAAAGGAGGAAGTAGAGGGACCCAAAAAAAAAAAATAAAGATAGAGGACTAATTATATTTATACTTACTTATTTTTCTTATTTTTTTTATTATATAATAATTATTATTATTTTTACTTTTTTTTTTCTATTTCTGTCTTTCTCCTTTTTTTTTCTACTCATTTCATTGCACATTCCCTGCAACAAAACAATTTAAAATTAGAGTGAGTTCTTAAAAAATAATATTTTATTTTTCTGTTTATATAAAAATTAATAATAATATTAATTATTTTTTCTTATTAATAGCTGTAGTGTAGAAGCTTCTGAAGAACAGCAAAACGTGTCCCAGGCACAGACACTAAAGCGTACGGCATTGTGCACCTAGCTAATTAACCATAGTACGCGGTCCGGCCAAAACTCCACACACCAGTGAGACGAGAATTCCTTTCTCACAGAGAAATCTTTGTTGTATATTAATTTATTTTCTATTTTATAATAAATGAAAGATAAAAAGTGTTTAATATAATAAATGATGTGATAAAAAATATTATAAACAATTATTGTATGAATAATATAATCTTGTTGTCTACTCACCCAGTTCCTTAACGAAATCCATTAGTTAGGTCTAGAATCCACCTTTCCTGGTAGTTTCGGTGATTTTCGTCGCTTTGCTGATGCAGAGGAACAAAAACTTGCTACTGAGTTTTCTTAGTTTGAGTTTGAAATTATAAATATAAGTGATTTTTGTTATTATAGCTTATGCAAAAACCAAAAATATGTTTCCGAGTATTCTTAATTTGACTAATCAATTTCATTGATTCATATTATTTATACAATTTTTCTTAAATACAAGGGAGATAGATAGAAAAATATATTAAAATTGGTGTATTTATTTTCACAAAAATGCATTTATTGCTTAATCCTTTTATCAAAGAAAACACATTTCAGAATTTTTCCACACTGTAGTGGGTCTCCCTTTTAATTATAAAAATTAAGACTTTAGCTTGATTTGATGTGAAGGTCTTTTTTAGACTTAGCTTATATTATTTATAAAAAAATAAATTAATAAAATTTATTATTTAAAACATTACATATTCTTTGCAGAGGTGTTAAATGAAATACTCTTAACTAATTTAACTTTGACTAAAACAAAAAAAAAATATTATATAAAAAAACTTATAAGATAAAATGTTTATAGAATTAAGTGAATTACCATTAATTTATAGGCTAACTATATTTAAAAAAATTATTATAGTTTATTAAAAATATTTATTTTATATAATATATTTTTTACTATAAACTTATAGATAAATAAAATTATTTAAAAATAGATAAAAATAATTAAATTTATATAATGTTAAATATTTAGAATAAATTATTATTATTAAATAATATTAAATAAAATATAATAATTTATTATCAAATTAAATTATACGTTTATTTAATTTTTATTTGTATTATTAATAATTATTAAATTATAGTAACATTTTTTATTCATATAATTTTATAAATAATTTCTTAATATATTATTTTATAATTTTATTTAAATATTAATTATAAATATTTTATATTTTTATTTATTTCTATAAAAATATTTAAAAATATTACATGTTTAATAAATATTTTTAAAGTCATAATAAAAATATGATTAACAACAAAAAATAATCGTTAATTAAATCTATTAAATTATTTATTAAATAAATATTTAAAATATTTTATTTATATTAGTAAAAAAATTTATTTAAATAAAATATAATGTGTTAAATAAATAATTAAATTATTTATTAACTGAATTTCTACTTTTTAATAAAATTTGTATAATATTTTATAATTGAAAAGAAGTGATGATATTTCAATATATTATTATTTTAGGACTAGACAACTTGCAGAGTACATTTATTGTAGTTTACTGTGGTTCATCTTTCATCATTGCAATTAGTCTATCAATTTTTTATTTTTATTTTTTAACTGAAAATTTACATTTTTAATTCAAAATTACCCTAAATTAAAGTAACTACATTAATTTTCATATTCTTTCACTCAAAATTTATCAATTCAAATATTAACTTTTACCCACAATGGAAAAATATCAAATATTTTTTTTCAAATAATACAATCTCACTTATTATTAATTTCCTTTTTTGACTTTTATTTTTTTTAAATTTCTTTCGCATATTAAATTCATCAAATGTCAAACTATAAATTCATTCACCTAAACTTAATTATATGCCACATTCTAACAAACTTTACTTTTATCATAGTTTGTATGTCAATCAACAAGGTATTTTGGAAATTAAGTTTTGTTGCCGCTTGAGCCATTATGAGTTAGAATATTCCCATGTCAAGATCAAAGTACACACCTAAGTTGACGGACTACGAAAGCTACATGGGTGGAAATGAAGTGGGAACTGGTTGACATTGACGAGTGAGGCAATAGTCCAATGAAGAATGAAAGATGAATTTATATAATATAAACTTTATATAAATATGACATTAAATATGATATGATGAATTTATTTATATGTAATCCTCAAGCTGTATGCATGGTTGCTACTGAGATTAACATAGTTTTGCTGTGATTCACACTTTTTGGGTTTGGGCCAGCGGAATGAAATGAAGCTTTATTTGTGGTCCTACCATGTTTAGGATGCTTTCAATTTTTAAATATTTTATCAAAGTTGCATGTTAAAGCAAATTTAGGTCATTTTAAAATGTTTATTGCCATACCTGTTTAATTTTTTTATATATAAAGTATTTTTTTATTAATTAACTAAATTAATAAAAAATAAAATCTTTAAATAAAAGATTCTTAAATAAAAAATGACAAATAAATATTTTAAATAACAAGTTTATGATTATATGCTTTATAATTTTTTTATTTTTATTTGTTAATCAAAATAAATTATAACATTTAATATCCACTTTTAATTAAATACTCTTGTGTCAAAATACTTATTGTCAAATTTGATATCATTAAAGTTGCATTTGACTATTTAAGGAGGTTAGTTATTGTGTTGAATATTTGGTTAATTAAAGTAAAAATATAATTCTAATTATAAATATTAAATATTTTAACTTTCACAATTTTTCACAAAATAATAATTTATAAGAAAATAAAAAAATAAATATAATTAAATGCATTATATTACTATGGTAAAGTTTATATATATATATATATATATATATATATATATATATATATATTATGTTGTACAATATTGCACATGTTAGAAAATTAGTACAAATATTCATATGTTGAGTTTTATATTTATATATCTGTTCTCATGCATTTTTTAGGTATTGTTTGATAAAAAATAATAATTAAAAATGTTTTTATAAAAAAATTATTATTTTAAAAAATATAACTCATGAAAATTTTACAAAATATGTATCATTTAACTTTCTTAGAAATATCATGTTAGAAATAAATTATTGTTCTCATATTTAGTTCAACTAAAATATTCTTAAACTATAATATTTTTTTTCAAAGACACTTTTAACTGAATTAATACAAATCATTTTCATGTTTATTAGTTTCATATGACATATCAAATTTCAAAATTTACAAATTCAAGATGTAGAATTTAATTTAAAGTTTTGTTGAGAGTAATTAAAATTAAATTATAATATTCAATTTAAATTCAAAAAATAAAATTTAATGCTTGATGAAATATAAATCATGCAATTTAATAAAAAATTTAAAATACACATTCTAAATAAAAAAAGAAAACTAAACTTATAATATAAAGATAAACTATATAAATCATTATTTAATCTCAAACCCCAGGCTAAAAAAATAAAAATCTCTAACCATGAATCTCTTTATTACTTTTCTTAGTAAGAAGACACGGTTTGTAAAACTAAAGACGCCGTTGAGTATGCCAAAGCAAAAGTGTGGATCCAAATGAATTAACAATGGGCCTTTAAAGCCCTCTAAGATAAAGTGGGCCATACATACAAGGAAAATGTTTTACCATTTCGGATTGCAGTGTTACAAGTAACTCACAATTGAGACGCAAAAGTCGGCAGCAATAGGAATAGCAAATAACATGTCGTATGAATCGGCACTGATAACGCCGACGCCACTCCAAATTCGGAGAGATGGCATTGACGATGATGTCGGAAAGAAACATGCAAATCTAAGGTCAAAACGGGAATTGCAGATTGTCAGCTTCGGACTCCCAGAGGGTTGGTTGGTCGAGCGAAGGCCCCGTCTTTCTAAGCCCTCTCACATCGACAAGGTTATGCTTATTCTAACTATCCATGCATGCATGCATTTTTTATGTCTTCACTGCATTGACATCATCGACATGCGCCGCATACAGTGATAGTTCCTCATGTTCTAATTTTTTATTTTATTTTTTAATGTTATTTGTTCAGTATTACTATGAGCCAGGCACTGGAAAGCAGTTTCGATCTTTGTTATCTGTTAAGAGATATCTTGCAGAAAAAACCGGAGATTATCTGATTACCGACAGAATGATGGCAGAAAGTGCAAATACTGTGAGTTCTAGTTACATTTTTGTGTGTTTTGCAAGTGTGCCTTTTTAATCACTTGCATTTGGAAATGAAAATACCAAGTGGGATTTGTCATGATGTTTGTTCATAACTCACACAACACAACAGAAAGCATTTCATGCATTAAGCTAACTAATGATTGGATTGTTAAGGAGAAAACCCTGTAACAATAAGAAATAAGTTGGAGTTATAAACAATGCATTTTACCGGAGGCTGTTATCTAGGGCACATTCTGATTTATCCCAAAATTTTTTCTCAAGAAAAAATTCTAATAGTTTGGTTTGTAAGATTGTGGAAAGCAAAATGAAAAAAAGAAAGAATACACTTAATTGTTCATTTGTTTCCTGATAATGAGGCAAATATATACATATCCTTGGTGTAGTTTTTGCTCCTGTGTTTGTGATGCAGCAGCTTGAGTCTTGTTTTGACTAGGTATGAGACATGGGACTCCCACTTATAGTGGGTGCCTCATTGGCTGGATGTGAGATGCAACTTTCATTCCCAATGAATGTTCTCACCTCTTATCAGCCTGATTAATAAGTTCTCATCCAAGTTTGTTTGGTTTTTGTTTGAATATGGATTAAATAGAAGCATATTTTTCTCTTGGAAGATAGACAAATTATCAAGAGTTTAATTTTAAATAAATTTCTATTGTATTTTAAATTTACTTGTGTTTGATATAGTTAACTCAATATTTGGCTATGGTGATTTTCTGTGAACATCTTTAACTATCATCTCTATTTTATGAAAAATGCCTCGGGTTCTAATTATGACTTCAATATTTCCTTATTTTTTTGGTTGCATTTGGACAAAGTTTTTCCTTATTTCTTTTTGCACTTTCCTTTTGGCAATTTTAAGTGAACATTCACTGTTCTTGATTTGAAGCTTCAACACACACAGCTGTGTATGTTAAAAGGTTATGGTATGCCACCTGTGTCCCCACCCCAGCTAGCATGCTTGCATCTGCAATGTACATAAAAAAATATATTGAGTCTGGGATGGGACAATGGTTCCATTCCTTGAGAGCTGTTGAGAAATTTTTACCAGAAGAAAATGCATGTGCAGCAATACCCTAGGTGCTAACTTATCAGTAGTAGCCAATAGTGGAGTGGAGCAGCCATATGCCGCAATAAAATTTGAATAGCGGTTGTAGCAACCGCAATAGCGCCATAGCAACCACAACAGTGGCCCAAGCACTGCTATGGCGGCGCAAGAGTAAAACTTAAAAACAAAATCAATTATGTCCTAAAAAAGCACTGCTCTGGGGATTTTTTTCCTTTTATTGTTATTTACTTGTATGTTTTACTAAGAACTATGACTTTTCATTTTTAATTATGAATATGTTATGGATTTTAAGTTTTTTAAAAATTTCTATATAGCGGTCATCGCTACGCGTAATTCCATTTTTGGCGTGGACCACTGGGATTGATAACTATGGTGCAAACTAATAATGTGGTGGTGTCAACACATATATCTGCATGGTTTATCACCCTCTAAATCTAATTTATGCTTCCTTTTCAGTCAGTGGTTAAATCAGGCACTAGAAAGCCAAGAGCACGTGGGGTGAGAAGTTCCCAAAGACCTGTCTATCGACACTCTTCAGTTTCAGAAGAAGAAAGAATCACTCTAAAGGCCTCAAAACACACTATGAAATCTAGGGTAAGTTTCAAAACTGTTTAGACTTTATAATGGTCAAGAAATGATCGTGCATTCTAATTTTATGTCTTTTTAAGCGTTCTAAGAAATCCGATTATCTAAAGAAAACTGATTGGGAGAAGAACAATGGAGCCTCCATGCATAACTTAACTGCACCACCAGCAAAAGTAAGCTGGGTTCTGTCTGGTCCAGGGGGTTTCTGGACACCATTCCTAGAAGATTGTATTGTACCAGAATCTGAAAAGCTGAAATGGTCCGAAGCATTTGTACTATCCACCAATCATGGAGTTGCTAATGCACTTCATAGCTGAGGTAAGCTTGAACTAAGTTATTACTGCTTTCATGTGATTCCACGCCTTAGAAAGCACTTGTTCATTTCCATTCAGCTTTGCAGGGATCACAATGGAGATGTCAGGAATATTGATGAGCATGTGCTGATACCATGTAACTTTGATTGTAGACGGAATTATCTATGTGACTAATCTTAACCTATTGGCTGATATTGTTTTATTTCAATGAGTATAATGATGTAGTTTCTATCACACCTGATTCAGAAATTATTATTATTATTATTATTATTATCATCGTATCATTTTTGGGTTGCATCTCGAAGCAACGAGTAAAGTGGTGAAAAATTGAAGTTTCAACATCATCCCACTTCAGGTTTAAGACTGGGACTAGTTCTAAATAACTAATAGCTCGGTGGTAGTAACAACTTTTGCTCAAAGAGAGAGAGAGAGAGAGCTATCTTTACTGTATTTGCTCAGGGTCCTTGTGGTTATATTTTGGCAGCCACACTTGTGAGCCTAAGAAACAAAGTAAAACAGAAGAGATATAAAAAATTATTATACGTTTGATTTTGATCGTGTGCAATGTTATTCAAATTAGAAAAATTAAAATGTCTAGATAACAAAGATAAAGTTAAAGAAAAGAATGTGTCCTTCATTGGTTGGTGCAAAGTTGGGTCATCAAAATTACAAATCATGGTGATAGTGGGTGAAGCAGGCGTGTTTATAGGTTGGGTTAAGTGAGTCGATTTCATGAGTTAGATTGGGGAGTCAGGACAGTAGTTACATGAAAATGGAGGTGATCAGGATGAACAGCCAAGCAAATGGAGAGGGAGCTAACCCAGGCCAGTAGTCGCCAAAGAAGGAAGAGTAGTCTACGTCGGAATGTGGAGGAGGTAATGGAAACAATAAAAAAGTTAGGGTTTCTGCCTTTACACTAAAGCTAATGGGATGGTCTAAGTTGGGTTGACTTCTAACATTACAAATTTGAGATTTAATCAATTTTTTATCTGATTCTAAATTTTTTACTTGGACAGAATCTGTCTATCCAAACCAACTTATTCATTTTTAAATGGGTTGGGATAAGTTGATGGGTTTAATCTGAGTTAGCAAAACCCGTGAATAAACGAGATAACAAAATCTGTAAATACTCCCATGCCAAGAAGGAATTAGGAAGACAATGGAGAAAATCAAATTAATTAAATTATTATTATTATTATTTTGCTATTCAAATTATATTAATTCAAATGATAAACTTTAAGGTTCTATGATTATATTTTAAGTTAAAATTAAATTATATATTTAGTCTGTATAGTTGAAACTTATATACAAAATAGTTTTTATACTTTAAAAGTTGTGTTTTAATTTTTGGACACACATTTTGTAATGTTTTAACTCATGTTGTTAACATTGTTAACAATATTACAACAGCATAGATTAAAACATAATTTTTTTATATAAAGAGATAATTTATAAATATATTAATTATAGAAATTAAAAAAATATTTTTATAAAAAAAAAAGAAAAATATTTTTAGTGAATTTATCTAAAAAAATTTAAAAATGAATCACTAAATAAAAGAATCAAATTTTAAAAATACAAAAAACTCATATTTAAGTTAAATATTATTTATAATTTTAGATTGTATATATTTATTAATAAAATTTATTAATTTGATAAATGTATAAATTAAAAATAATAACAATTATAGTTAATAAAATACTAAAATAATTAACAAATAAATTATTATAATTAAAAAATATCTAAACATACTAGTCTTTTTAAATTATCTATATGATAATAAATATATAAAAATATATTTATTTATTTAACAAAGAAAGTAAAAAAAAATTAACTTATAAAATTTTAAATTGATATATAAGAATTATTTACTTATATCATAGTAAAAAATTTATGAATTTATTTATATAATAAAGTTAATTTTTAAAAATTTTAAATAATAATGTAAATTTTACATATTTTATTTTTTTCTATAATTTTTTTCAAAGATACTGTAAAAATATATATATCTTATAAAAAAATAGGTTTTATCAAACTTTTTGATCCTTATAATAGTTGTATAAGCACTAAATTAAGAGATTTTAAGTTCAAATTGTATAATTTTTTTAAAATTATAGTTAATTAAAATATATACTTAATTTTATATTTAACATATTTACGAATTAGATTTTATACTTAAAAAAATTTATGTTTTAGTTTTTACAGTTAAAAACAACTTAGGTGTTAGTCTTTTTACTTAAAACTACAAATATTAATATTTTAATCCCAATACAAATATTTTGTCATAATTTTGTCTCCTATATTTAATGTTGTTATCATGCAGGAACTAAAACATTAATTACGGACACTAAAACATGAAAAAAAATACTGTGTTTTAAGTATAAGTTTATTGGATCAAGTTCGCATTTCAACTTTTCTTAAGATTTTGATGTCAGCGGGTCAGAGTGTCTTGCTAGGGACAGGAATAAGAAAGAAAAAAAAAAAAAAAAAAACTCCTATTTTCCAAAGAGACCATAATATCTGGCATGTGGGCGTTTGTGTTTAACATACACACTGGATATCTAAATTTGTATGTATGTATGAATTTGATGGATATTTATTAAATTATTCTTTTGGTGAAAATTTATTAAATCATTAAAAAGTAAAATTAGTTGAAAGAATTTTTATAATTTACATAATGAAAGACTTATAAAGTTATTTTTTTATTTAAATAGCTGTGAATGTTTTAAATAATCTTATTACATGTGTGTGCAATTTAATATTTATTCTTGTTTCAATTAATAAATAAGCGCAGAAAACAAAATCTGCTTCTCTCCATAAGACTTTGTCTGTGCTGTGATTTTTAGGAGAAGAGAATAACAGAAAGATAATTATGTAACATTTATTTATATATGAAAATTTTTATATGAAAAAATAGATGATTTATAAATCTTATAAAATTCTCTTAATTTATATTTTTAAGTTATTTTAATTAAAAAATTTATATTAACTCTCTTTTCTTTCTTTTTTTTATTTTTCAAATTCTTTTTTCTTCTTTCAAACTCTCAAACAAAACTTAATTTATTTTTTTTTTAAATTATTCTTATGCGGCATTTAATTAGGAGCATTCATGGATATTGATAATTTTGACATCCGTGCTATGTAGGATTGAAAGGCTTAACTCGTTTTAGGTCATAATTAGAATACACATACAAATGGCAGTACCGTATAATTGAATTTTGTATATTAAAATTTATTATTTTGTATATTTATATGAATTTTTATATTAATTTGTGCGTGTATATGTAAGAAATGTATTATGTTAGAGGCTGAGAACTGAGAAATAGAAAAAATTAATCGTAATAATCAGTCTAAGATGGAACGATCGGATATCTGTTCTCCCCTCTCATGTTCTGACTTAATATGCTAAGCATTCTAAACAGCTTAATAGAATTTTATGAAATTTTCGAGACGACAGCCGTTTAATAAAACAATAGTCAACACGATTGTCTAAAAATCAATGATATATTTGTATAGTGATTCAATTAAGAACTTACGAGTGTTTAGGTCATAAATTTAATTGTAAAATTTATAAAAGTAAACTAAAGCTAATTTTATAAGCTAAACTATAATTTGTAGAACTCTTCAAAATGCTAACCATATATGTTAATTATGTATCACTTCATTAATGTTATTCAGGCTACATAAATAGTTCAATTATTATTTGCCGTGAATATAAAGATCTGTTATATTTCTTAACACCAGTTGATTTTGTTAAATCATCTGATCATAAGCAGCTGCATTTTAAAAGAGCTTGATATTTTCATTGCTTGGTATCATAAAAGGTTTTTACAAGAAAACAGTTTGCGACTAACAAGATATCATCAACTCCTTTTATTCCAATAAAAAAAGTTATGCTCAGTATAGAATGTAGATGTGAGTTTACCACTCACCTTATCCTTAATCACAATTTGGTAACCTTGCAATGTTCACCCTGTCATGCACCATCCAAATTATTTACAATCTAGAAATCGGGGAGGAGCAACTATATCATACACGTTTTCTTATAAACTTTCATAATTCCACATAATTCATTGAGTTACCAAATGCTGATGAACAAAAAATTCATGGTGGCAACCTTCCAGTCAAGTAGTGAGACAAATTCTCTCTTATAGCTACTCCCCTCTCATCCACAGCTCCACAAACCAGTTGATGGTAACCTGAGTCATGATCATGAGACAGAGGTAGTTCATCCTGCGCTTCGTCTTGCATGTCAATAACGATGTTGTGAAGCAAGCAGCAAACAAGAATGATTCTTGGCAGACGGTGTTTGTCAGGTCTCCACATCATTCCATGAATGATTCTCCACATCTCCTTTAGCCTTACCAGCGCTCTTTGTGCCACCATCCTTGTTGCCAAATGCAGCTTGTTAAACTCTGCTTTCGGTTCGGCAAGTTCTTTTCCTTCATATGGAACAAGAAGGTAAGGTAATAGAGGATACCCTGAATCTCCAATTATATATTCTCTTATTTCTGATCCTTCAGAGAGATTTAATTTCTTTCCATTCAATCTCTCACCTTTTTCACAAAGTTTGTTGAAGTTTGAACTCTCAAATATCAACCAGTCCTCCATTTTACCAGGCCAGCCAGTGACTATGTCCCTGAACCTCATGTCAGGATCCACTATTGCTTGCAACACCATGCTATGATTCTTCTTATGATCAAGCCACACATTGCAGGAAGGTTCTGATGCAGGTAAACACATGGTGATGTGAGTGGCGTCAATTACACCACAGCAATTGGGGAGGCCTTGTATTTTCTCGAATTTGGATTTTATTTCATTCATTTCCACTTCAGTGGAAGGCCATTGCAGGTGATGAAGACCCCTTTCTTCCATGGATTCCACAAATCGCCAAGTGACTTGTGAAACGGTTGAGTGGTTTAGCCCAAATGCATCCCCAATTGTGACCAGTGACTCACCTGATCCCAGTCTTCTCAGTGCCACTGCTACTTGATCACATATAGACATTGGCTTGCCACTTGTAAACACAAAATGTGCAGATTTTGTCATCATATCATCCCTAACAAGTGAACATATGTACTCGAATGTCTTTCTGGAGATCTTGAAAACAGATTCAAAGTTCCCCAAACGCTTTGATGGAGACTGTTGAAGACCTGCCAAGCAACTAAATGTCAATAATGCAGACTTTTCAGACATATTTTTAGATGTCTTTCAGGTCATGGTGGATTAAAATGCCAAGACATGGGGAATTTCCTTTGCTATCTCTAAAAAGAAAAGGGTCAGGGGAAGGATACAATACTACAGGAGAAAAATCACGAACCTTAAATTTAATAGTGAAATCGGTGAGATTCATTTGATAAGAGGAACAAAAATGCATAAAAACAAATGAATATGTTACCCATTATGTTTTTATTTGTGAGGGGAGAGGCCAGACAAACTGCTACAAAATTAATCATAAAAAACTAATTGAGAAGGACGTAGCTTGTTTACTGTGTAGTTCAGCAATAAACTAATTTAGAAATAGTTTACTTCAGTATATATAATAAAATCGATGCATGCCAGATGACTACATATATCACATAAAAATAGCTTAAGTTCATGGCAACATATTTATCCACCCATCTGAATAAAATACAGGTAACAAGCATAATAACCGAAGTATTATCAGGTTTACATTGATGTTAAAATTATTAATTAGATTATATGACTAGAGACAGAATGTGAGAAAAACCATGTCTGGTCCTGGACTGCTATAACCAGTATAATATGCAAGTCATGTTCTTGCCAATAACATGATTCTAGAACACTCTAATTCCATGGCCTAAATATTAAAACGTTGTAAATTATGAAGCACCCACTTCATCTCTCTTCTGGGTATTGAAACAAATTGAATTGCATGGACAACAATATGTTTATCAACTTAAAACCAAGAACATAACAAACTGACATCACAAATATCCTACAGCAAAAAACACCAACATTTATGAGATTTGCTGATTTATGTTAAAAAATAGCTAAATATAATCAATCTACATAAAATGGTATCCACATCTTTTTTATTCCAATCTCTTGTTGGATTCTAATCCCATTTTTTTACTAAAAAATGAGTGGCTAAATGATGTTTCAACTTTCAAGTAGCCTTAAAAATACAGCAAATTACAGCTAATCTTACCTCTTAACAGATAATTTACCAAGATTCATATTTGACTAGAGCCTCTACAATCACCAAGCTGTTTATTTAATCTCAGGTTAACTGTTTACTAAAAACAGACAAAGGTCTCCACAAAGTCATAGTATCATGTACAGAAGCTGATGATACTTTCCAAATGTAAGTTGTTAAACCTTTTGGCAGTTGGTACATTCAGTTCAAGAAGAAAATGAATTACTTGCAAGACTGATGGCTTCTCAAAGTTCATTGAAATGTTGCTAAGCAATCAGTCAATATTGACCAAAATCTAAGTAATCAATTAATCTAAAATCAAACTTAACACGGGGTTAAAAGAAATTTTAAGCTTTGCCAATTGAATGCTGGCTGGGACATACTCAAGCATCATAGATTGAACTAAATATCAAGTAATTCCGTAATTCTAATAGAGAAGAGTTTCAGCAAATGTCCTCTGGTTTCAATAAATGTTTTGATTAAATCGCCCATGACAAGTCACACTTCACAAGGGAGGACCATTTCAAAACTATACAGAGGATGAACAGATATTGTTTATCTAATAATATACTAAAAGCAGAGCACAGACTGAATTCAATATTAAGTAATTCCACTCAAAAAGGTTTCTGTAAATATGGTCTTCAGTAAATGGTTTGATTAAATCCCACATATGGTCACACATCACATAGGTGAACCATTTCAGAATTATATAGAAGATGAACTGATATATTGCTTTTACCATTGGTAAAAATTTTACACAAATACAAACATAGGGATAGTTTATCTAAGAGAATTGAGCTATAAGGTCATAAATATAACATGGAAAAGGAAAAATTTATATGAAAATATCAAGCTTACCAACAATAGTTTATCTCATACTAAAGCAAGTTGCTTACTCAGTATAGCTTATCGTCACAAAATTTGACGGTTGCTATCCATTAACATTTTAATTCCACAAACCACAAGATTGTTTAACTGAAGTATAGAATAACAGAAGAATACCTCGGACTGCCCCTCCCAAAAAAATCAACTTTTCATTGGAAAAAGCATACAAAATTAACCAAGAACTGAATGCCTGGTTGAAATTAAACTATCAAATCACAGTTGTAAAACTAGAAACAGAAAGCAAAAACTCAGTTGCTTTGCTACCCCAACTTTGTATTTTAAACAAGTCTTTGATATTTTTGATAATCCGTTGGGGGGATGCAGATTAAAAGAAAATTCACTACTCCACTAAAATTATTCTCTGTATAAAGGTTAGGAGCAGATTTCACAAGTTGCTTGATGATGGTTTTTTTTTCTTGGACTGATAACAGAGAAATGTTCAAGAAAACATATTTTTGTGAAATTCTAATGAGTATACCTTCTCATTTTCTCCTCTCTTTAGTTCTTCTTCAGCTTCAGGACATAATGAAAAACATATTCTCTACTTCCCTTCCTCAATATGACCGTGCCTACTTTGTATCCTTTCATTTCTTTTCCTCTATATTTTGTTTCCAAACAAACACCTCGGATCCAATAATACTTTTTTAAAATAGACCAAAAGCAAAGGATATTACATGAACATCTTTGAAGAAACAGGCCAGAGAAGCATTAAGTGGATAACAGATAGAAGATGCAACAAAAGCAAAGTCTGTTCTGTTATTCTTCCTGCATGACCCACATCTCCCATTTTTTCCTTTTAGTTTCCTTCATTCAGTGAATCTAATAGTCTATGCAATGAGCAGGCTAAAAAGCTTTAGGATCCAAAACACTGAATTTAAAGTATTATGTTAATTAAATTAATTTAGATTAACTTGCAAATAGAATCTATACAAAACAATGTGCCCAACAAACAAAATTCAGCTCCTTTCTTTATATAAGCAGGAAATCTAATGAATGGAAAGAAAAACAGCAATAAGCAATACACAAAATATATCGTGTGCATGGACTACTACTTAACATCAATAGAAACATTTTTATCTGGTTTCAAAAGGTTTAGGGGGAGGAGAGGCCAACCATGCCAAGGCCACCATTAGTGTTTTTGCTTTAATGAAATTTTGAAGGTCAAAATAATAAAAAATAACTATAAAATTTGGAAGCACCTTATATGTATGGATTAGCAATTCGACATTCTTTCAATTGGTGACAAGGCAAAAGGAATACATACACATCTGATACATGTGTCACATACGATTTCTTTTACTTATTTTGAAACACCAAATCAGAATCAGTTAGCATGAAAAAGTTGGAAAACTCTAAAAATATCAAGCCGATTTCACACCTCACACAAAAACAGAAAACACAGACAGATTACAACCATTCAATCACCAAGAAGAAAGTATCATTATTCCTTGGAATTCAGCATACACCCACAATGTACTATATGGTACACAAGCCTGTTCAGGGTTAATTATAATGCTAATACATAATGTGGTTAACTAACCATTCCTTGATTGGTAAGATAACACGATCAGAATGGCAAGCAACATGAAAGTCAAATTAGGGATCCTCATCATATTTATCAAAATGCAATAGTGTGACGAAGTGTATACATAATTTTAATGACAAAAGAAGCAAAACTGAGATTTTGTAAAATAGAGATGAAAAGCAAGGCATTCACCAATCAACCAATATCAGACACATACGAAAGGAATTGAATACAGTGAAACACAGAAAGATATCTACCATTCATCCTCTTTGACAACTCATCCCACCAATCTAGAGGACCCTCGTTCTCCGGTGACCCACAAGCAGCAGAACCATTTTTGTCATACTTCTTCTCTGGCTTTCTCTTCTTCTTGAATCCTCCTCTCACAGGACCCATCACAAGTTAATCGAATCACCAATATTCTCAAGATTTGGTGAGGCAAGCAAAGCCTGAAAGAATTGAAGGGGTGGAGATAAAACAAAAACAACAGAAGATTCATTGCTATCATGATAGAAAAACAACACTTACCAGTCAGAGAATGATGGGAAGTGGCATGGCGACAAGTTGTGAGAGTAAGAACAATGGTTAGTTGAAGAGCAGAGAGTGGTGTATGACTCTTAGTTTAAAGCATGCAAAAAAAAGGAGACAACTTTAGTGAAGAGCGAAGGGAGAAGAAACAAAAGGAACTATGCTAAATGCAAAACGAGGGGGTTAAGGTTAAGGTTAAGGTAACTGATGGAAAATCCAAACAACACCAACACATGTGGGTTGGTTTTAAGACAATGTGTCAACACTGAGCAGAGAAGGGTCATGGACATGATACATATAGAGAAAGAGCATCACCACACCATGTGTGTTAGATTTAGATATCAAGAGAAACACACATAGATGCCTGATTCAGTTCCACCTTTCCCACACAAATTTTATGAGTAAAATCGTGTTTTGGTTATCATAAAAATCGAAAAGCGACTTCTCTCTATTTGAAGACTCTTCTATAAGTATTGCAAATAAAATAATAAATAACTACCAGAAAATGAATTTATTTATATCATTAATAAAAATACGAGTGAGAAACTAACCACAATATACAGTGTGTATAATTCTAGGAGAATGAATAAAATTATTATGACATAAAACTATTTTGGGATGAACATATCCAACATAACATAAATATTAATACTTTTGCATTCAATACATATATGATACCCCAATAATTCTTTTAACTTTACGGGTGCCCCTTATCTTCTAAGTGTGATTCCGCCCCCAGATTGTAATTTTAAAGGCCCAGCTCAATTAAAATATTATTTTGACCGCCAACTTAATTGAAATATTTTATCAACTGTTTTTTAATATTTTGATGTAGATTTAGATTAGCTTATTTTATTTTATAAAGATTATTTTAATTCACATTTTTATATTTAAAAATTTTGTTTGTTACAAACTAAATTGAGCATACTTAAATTATTGTTGACTAATAAAACTTGTATACACAGTAATTTGATTTCCTTTTTAATTTCTTAATAAATAAAATCTTAAATTAATCTTTGATATTATAGTTATAACTCATTTTAGTCACTGAAATTAAAGATTTGTTAATTTAAATTTTAACTTTAATAATTATTTTTCATTTTAATTTTAGTGCATATTTATTTTTAATGTCAATAATAAAATCGACTATAGTTATGAAATTTATGAATTAAGTTAACCGATTGCATAATTTTACAAATTAAAATTTTAACTGTTATTAAATTCATAAATTAAATTAATTAGTAATCATGACAAATAGAAACTAAATTTAATTTTATGATAAAGGTAATTAATATTTTTTTATTTCATAAATTAATTCAGTATGACACTAATTTGTTGATATTCTATTTGATTTAATGGAGGTTTTGATTTTATTTTCTCAAATATCGTGTCTTTATGTATGTTTAAGGTTTACATCATTATATTCACAAGGTTTAATTGTGTTTTTAGTATTTTTAATCTTATTTTATGTATAAATTTAGTTTTTTTAATTTTAATACTCATTTTATAATGTTTAAATTATATTTTTTATTTAACAAGTAATAAATTATATTAGATATGTAATATATCACTAACCTGTATGTATTATAAAGTAAAATATATAATATATTTTATTTTATTTAAATACATATACATTTTATTTTTTTAATTTATACAAGTCAATGCCATACCTTAATTCTATTTGTATTAATTATAGAAGTGAACGACTGATATAACAAATTATAATTAAATAATAATATAAAAATTGAACGTTATCAATATATTTAAATTAAATATATAATTAAAATTTAAAAATTATATAGACATTAGAATATAAAAATTAAAAATATAATTAAACTATTTATTCTTGTGAAAAATCACGCACACTCCTCTTTCATTCTTTAATTGTGCGATTTTTTTTAAGGAGACAAACATGGATCTGATCTGATGGTGCTTGTAATTTCAGCAAGGTAGCTTTTGCATTTTGCCTTGTTATGTATTTTTATACAATTAATGAACATTAGATAGTAGGAAGAGCAAAAACAATATATTTATTTAGATTATTTTTTTTGAAAAATATTTATTTTACTGAAAATAAAGTGAAATAAACACGCATGCAGTGATACTTCTTCGATTCGTCACTTTCAAAATAACTTCAAACTGAAATTATATAAACTTGTATAGGTAAGAGAGATCCATTCAAAACTTAATGTTTTTCGTTTGGAATATTTTGTTTATAATAACAGCTAAGATTTAAAGAAAATTCATCTTCTTCTTTCAATTTAGCAAATTAAAACGATATATAGATACATATATATCAAGGACAGGACAAAATAATATCAGCTGCAGATAATATTTTAATCCATTCAATTGTTATAAAATTTTATATAATTAAAAATTTCTTAAAAGTATAAACTTATCAAAATATTTTCTTAAATAATAGTATAAATATGTCAAATTCAATTGTCGTCTTTAAAATTTCCACAAAAATCTATTACTAGAAACTAACAAATATTTAACTGTACTGTTTTTATAAAGTTTAATATCATATTCTAAATATAAATAAATTTTAAAAAATATTAACAACCTATAGTATATTTAAAATAGTCTAATTTAAATATATTGAAAATATAAATATTTTAAGCTCTTATTATTTTATAAATAATGAATATAAATCCATTTTAATTTTGTATTTAATAGACCTGTTCAATTTTTGTGCAAATTAAAACAAATTATTTTTTATATTTAATATTGCTAAATATTTAAACATACTTATAGTATAATTTTTTTTATATTTAATATAAATTATCATATTAATAAGAATTATTAATTTTTATAATAATTAATATAAATTTTTTTAAAATTACATAATTTAATGTTATTTAATATCTTAATAATATTAAATATTACAATAAAAATTAATTCATACGACTTCTTATCATATATAATGTTGCACAAATTGAAATTTTGTATATAAAAATTATATTCATATATATTTTAATTAGTTGATAGTATACAAATTATTAAATACAAAAAAATTAATCTATTATTAATTATTTTGTAATTATAAAATTTAATTATATTTATATATTAAAAAAGTGAACAAGAAATTTATAAATATAATCACAATAATTATAAATAATAAACAAATGCATAATATATAAGTTGATGTTTATAAAATTAACTGTAAAGTTTATTTAGAAATTATAAAATATTTATTTTAATAACTTAATATTAAAAAATATATAATTAAAAAAATAAAACTGGTAAATTATCTTTATAAATTGTTGAGAATGCTTTTAAAATCTTACTCACTGGGATATATCTACAAACAGGGGATTCTCAACTTAATAAGAAAAGTGTTAACGTATTTCATTAATAATGTGTCACGATATATGATTGAATTTAATTATGTTATTCAAGCAAAGCATGATACATTCTTATGGCCAATAGTGTTTTCTTTGGCTGGGTTATTAATATAGCTCACACTTTATCCATTTTTATTTTTTAATATTTTCTTTTATTTTCTTGTTTATGTTATCATACCTCCATCTATCTATTGCTGCATATTCATTGTATCATCGTCAATTAATAAATGAATACTCTTTTTGTCTGCATGACTGGGTCTAATGCAAGTTGTCAATACACTTTTCAATGTTCTGTCATTATTTTTTGTCAACACATAACAAATCATTTGAAATTCAGAGCAGGGCCATAATCAGGCCCAAGACTGTCCTTTTTTGTTTTGCCATTTGGACCAATTTTGATGTCCATTTAGACATGGCCCAATAAAGTGTTCTCATCTCAAAACAAAAATTTAGAATTCAATGTTGGTGGGTACCCCACAACATCCTTTGGATTACCCGAAAAAGAAAAAGCCCACACCTGGCCACAAATCTTAATAATTGAAATGAAAAGTATAAATGTACGACCAAAAAAAAAAAATATAAATGGAAAAATGAAAAAAAAATGCCTTGAGAAGGGTATTTAAAATATTTTTCATCATGTATGTTTATATTAAATCCGTTAAAAAGACTTGTCTAAGGTAATTTTGTTTTTAAATTTAATAATTAAATATGTAATTATCTTTAACTAAATAAATATATCATAGTTTAAACTTGTTAAATGATTTTAAAATATGTATACTTATTTACTTAAAAAGGAAACCTCAATATAGAAAGGGGTTTTTATTTTTCTAGTTATTTTCAGCTACATGAACCTAGCTGGATTTGATTTAGCCAATTAAATTTGGCCTCTTCTATGGCTTACTAGCCTAGCACAAATGAGTTTTTTATACATATTCACACAGAGGATGAAAGGAAGAAAGAATGACATGTATAGTACGAAAATATTTTTAATTTATAAATAATTGTAAAACGTCACTTAAAATTTGTATAAAAATTGTATTAGATGATTTTTGCAACTGGTATTTTTAAAATAAAAAAAATACAGCATTATTATTATTTATGAAAATAAAATTAAAAAACATATTTTTGTGTAGTTTGTATTTTTCTTCATTTCATTTTACTTATCACTTATTTTCTTCTCTATCTGCCCACAGAACGCAACAATGAACCTTACCTAAATATTCTCTTGCTGTCAAACTGTTCTTAGAAGCACTTTAAGATAATAGACTTTGTAAACAACATCTTTTTAGATTTTTTTATTTAACTAATCCACAACCATTGTTGACTGTAAAGTGAGGAGCGTAATACAATGACTCTCTCCACTAACATCCCAAGCTATGGAATGTTTAAAGAGACATTAAGTTACATAACATTTATTTGATTGAAGGAAACTATATGATATCTATTCAGATTTTGGGAAGTCATGCCCTTTAGAATCAATCTTTTTATTCATGCTTTTTTTCATCTAACATGCAATGAGTGAAAAAAATTATAGAAGTAATTAAAATAAAATTTATTTTCCACAGAGTTTACTACTTCATTGAACTTGTTTTAACATCATCTTTCTCTTATTTATTTATTTTTTGGGTCGTGATCATCTTTCTCTTAACATGGGCCAATGAAAGGATCCTCAGCTTTGGACGTGGTGGATATTCTTGTGGACATGTAAACCTGAACCTGAAGTATAAGATAACAGTGTCAATAACACATTAACACCTGGATTGAGAACCAAGCCCACAAGTTAATGGCCCCATCAGATTTTTTGGGCTCTCTTCTATTTACACCCAATCTGTCTATTTCAATGTTTCTCTTATAATACACACACGTATGGCTTTAATTGCTCACATAACTTTCTATACGTGGGATGCTTTAAATATTTTTTAATTTTAAATTAAAATATTTATATA